AGGATTTTCCAGCGGATCTTCCACATCCTAACGGAAATCGATTGATAAACTTGTGGCGTTTATTTAGTTATTCAATGGTAATCGCCCATTATAGATTGACCACCCTAACTGTAAGCACTACAACAATACAACAACGCCAGATTTTCAATGCGATTTCTTCGAATATGTCTACGCATTGAAATGGACCACTGAGCTTCCGACACACTAATCTGACTTCAATTATCCAAGCAAAACCTGTACAAATCCACCAAAAAAATTAACGAAATCCGCAGAAAAAACGTCAATTTTGACTAACTCTTAATGCCGCTACTCAATTTTCAATGTCATTCGATCCAAGGTTCGCAGCGGATAAAATTTCGAAATTGGTTCGGACGATTCGCCAAAGGCGTTGAGAAGTAAACGTGATACGTAAATTTTGCTTGCAATAATTGCATTTTTCGTTCATACGTCAGGGAGAAACAATCGGAATTTCGTGTCTATTCCCATATAAAGAATCGTTTGCATTACGGGATCTTGTTATTGCTTTCAGGGCACTTTTGCTGATAACGGGCGCCACTGCGCGCATGTGCTTAGATTACCACTTTGCCCAGTGTAGATATGCAATTCGAAGTCAAATCAGGAGTATGCTTAAGCTTAAACTTATGCTTAGCCCAGTGATGAGGCTAACGCATAGGTTTTGGCTTATGTATGAAGTGCATGAGCACACGAGTATCTGTGATAACGGCGCGGTGGCGCCTGTTATCAGTAAAAGTCCCGCTGTCAGTATACTTATCGTCTTATCGTATCAAAAATGTACTTATCAAAAGTACTGTCATTTCGATTGCATGATTATAGTTGTGTTTGTTTGAGGTGCACACCCGAAACTTGGTTGGAGCCACCGTTTTATCCCCATGGCAAGCAAGTACTTAACAAGGATTCAGCGTATCTATCAGAGCTTCTCGAAAGCTACCGGATTCGTACGGTTTGCGGGCGGGGTATGTTAATGTTCGCAAAAAAATTTGATTTCTCACTCTTGGAGTCACGCCTCATCTAGTGAATTGCGCTTTTTCGGCCTCAATGAAGGTTTCAATCGATGCAGTTGTTCATGAATCGCCGTCTGAATTCTTTTATGCTGATGAGAATATTTCAGTGTCGAGTGCTATCGGTTGATGAAGGACATGTGAAGGTTGAGATGGAAGTTACGAATGAGATGCTGAATCCACCAGGTACAATGCATGGAGGATGTACGGCCACCCTGGTTGATATTGTCACCACGACGGCTCTAATGGCCACCGAAAGAGCGAAACCTGGCGTATCGATTGATTTGACAGTCTCGTAATTAACTTCTCTCTTTGTTTGCATTCATTTCGAGCTCATAAAAATTTAAAGATTCATTCGATTCGGTTGTATCTTAAAACTTATGACAATGGGGTGAATACGTATGTAGAAGCATCAGCTCTAATCCCTGATTAATTAAATTCGATGAAAGCCTGATTGTGAGGTGATTTGCACACAAATTTCAGTCAGTTTCAGTCAGTCTTTCAGTCTTCCTTCAATTTCAGTCAGTCTTCCTTCAACACCGTCGATTTCACGAACACTCAATTAGCACATACCTTTACTTATTTGAAGAACTCATTAGGATTGTATAATGTATTATTTCAGATATATGGCTGCTGCAAACCCAGGCGATACGATTGTAATTGACGGTGT